GTCTCAGTCCCCACCGAGCCGGAGCCGGGAGGCAGAGCTGCTGGCCAGAGGGGGACGGGACCGCGGACACGGCGCCCGTGGGCCTGGAGGGCCCCGTGTCTGCCTCCCCGGCGCTCCCGCCCCCTCCAGCTCCCGCGTGCAGACGCTCTGGGCCCCCCAGCAGCTGGAGCCACAGGCCCCGGCCCACGCCCCTCACCCTCCGCGGGGGCCATGGGCCCTGCCCCGCCCGGCCTGACCCTGACCGTGCAGGCCTGAAAGCAGTCAGCGCCGCCTCAGGCCCTTCTCTTTGCTTCCTGCTGCCCTGTCCCACTCTCCTCCCTTGGTCAGCGGCACTTGGGCGAGGTGGCCGAGACCCAGGTCACCTGGAGGTAGCAGCAGCGAGCTGCCCGTGACACAGCTCCCTGGAGACGCGGTCGCCAGCAGGGGCAGCGGGGGCGTCTGAGAGCTGGCGGTCGGGGGGACTCCGGGACTTCGGACAGAGGGGCGGAAGCCGAGCCGGCCAGGGCCAGAGCGTCGCTCGCCCGGCTTCCTGCGGCCGCAGCCGTGCGGTGGCTGAGCGCGGGCGGGGGGGGCCCAGCACCCCGCAGGCGCCTCCGACCAGCCCCCAACCCGCACGACCACCTCGGTCCTGTTCCCATTTGACAGCTGGGGAAACTGAGGCTGAGACCTCTGGGTCACGGCGTGGCCAGGACGGGCTCTGCACTCACGCCTGAGGTCCAGCGCTGACCTTCATAGAGGGACACCAAAATTCTGAGGTGGGTGTCTGGACCGGCCGCACCCGCCTCCTCGGGGCCCGTCAGTGCAGAGGCTTGGGCAGGCGCTCGGCCCGTGCGGGCGGCCTGGCTCCCCGGGACCCGACAAAGCCACCTCGCTTCCCGGGGCGCCCGTCCTACCAGGAGACCACAGAAACGCACTGGACACAAGGTTCCAGCGAGCGCCAGCCGGTTCCACTCGGAAATCGACCCTAGGCCTCCTGGACGAGTGGGTCCCCAGCACCGGGCCCCCCGGTGAACATGGGGTGAAGGGCCCCACCCGAAGGCCTGGACCGAAGCAGGCCGAGGGAGACACCCTGTGTGGCCCGCCCTTCCCGTGGGCCTCCGGCCTCCGGCCACTCGAGACACACGCGCTGTTACTGGCGCGATACAAGGCGCCTCGCGTCCTGCCTCGCACAGAGCCCCCCAGATGCGCGGCCGTGCTGTGGCCACTGTGGCCAGGCCCCGGCAGCCTGCACCCGCCTGGCCCCGCAGGGTCTCCCGGGAGGCGGGAGCGCGCTCACCGCGCGACACACACACACTGCAGGCAGCGTCCAGCTAAGTCCAGCAGATGTGTCAAAATCAAGTGAGAGCCCCGTCTTGCTCTCGCTGTGTGCCACCGAGGAAGTGACCCCACTGCCGTGGCCTGACACGTGGCAAGTGGTACTTATTTGGCAGGAGACGGCGTCCGTGAGGCTCAGCCGCGTGGGGCAAGCTCTGTCCAGAGCAGAGCAGAGCCCAGCCTCGTTGGGAAGGAGCATCACAGAGGAGGGCCCCCTCGAGGCCTCTCCGACACCCCTGCTCACCCTCCTCAGGACCCGGCACCTGCAAGCTCCTTCGCGTCACCCATCCTCTCCTTGATCCAGTTACTATTTCTGAAAGGCCCAGAATGGCCTCTGCTCACAGGGGCTGGAAGGCCGGTCTCATCCCCAGGCAGGGGCCGGCCCCCCGGCCCCCACGGCCTCCAGTCCTGGGCTTCACCTTCCCTCCCACTTCTGGCACTTCCTCCGCCCCAGCCCAGGCCTGCCCCTCAAGTCCCAACGGCCTGCTGTGGAAATGCCCCCTGAAACGCCCTTCTCCCCACACCCTGACACAGACATTGCCCACTCTGACATCAGCCGTCACCCCAGAGCTGTCTCCACTTCCGAGGGCGCCTGAAAAGGTAAAGCCACGTGCGAATAAAGACCACGAGGAGCTGACCGGGAGAGCGACTCCCTCGCCAGGCGGTGACGAGCCGAGTCGTCGTCCGGCACTGGGAGACCAACAGGCGCCGCCGTGGAACGTGGGGAGCAGTGGCAGGGGCCTCACCACCCACCCTGTCCACAGGCGCCTGCAGGCGCAGGCCTCACCGGGCCCAAAGGAGGGCAGAGGGCAGGGCCTGAGCAGGGCCCTCGGGGCAGGGCCGCAGCACCGTGTGGCGTCGTTGGCCCGCGCAGTCCTGCACGGGCGGACATCGGCACCAACGTGTACGCACGGCGGCTGAGCCCATGACCAGCGAGGGGACCCTGGACTCTCTAACTTGTGGATAAGTAAGGCTGCAGTAAGCGCTAATGTGAAAGTGGAAAACAAACAAGCAGAACCACAAAGCCACGCCGGAATCCGCCGGCCTGCCCGCTCAGCCTGAGGGACAGCCCGGACCGGAGCGGCTCCCCAGCTCTCCCCGCGGACCTGCTCCGCCCAGCTGAGGCTGGACCCTCGCAACACAGCCAAAGTCCGGCCTTGCCCAGGCAGAAATGCTGTCATCGTCTTCCCGCCACCAAGTATTGTGGTGCGACACATTTCCACGCTTCTGGGGTGCTTCGTCCTCAGAGGGCGCGTGACTGCTGGGGCGCCCTCCGGAGGACGGGGCGCTTCCAATTCCCGGTCACCGCACAGAGCGCCCCGTTCCCCGCGTGGAAGGGAACCTCTGTGAACACCCCTGATTATTTCCTTACGGTAAGAGAGATGCCAAGACACGGAACTGCTGAGTCAAAGAGAATATCCGTTTTTAAGGTTTTTTGAGAAATACTTTCAAAAATATTTGAAAGCCCTCCAGAAAGGTGGGATCAATTTATACCCCCATAGCAGGGAATGGGGGCCCCCATTTCTCCACGTCTAAGACACTGTGTGTTGTGATTCTGGCCAATTAAATAGGGGAAAGCAGGATCTTATAACTGATTTAATTAGTGTTTCTTTGATCCCTACTTAAGCTGAACAAATTTCCATATGCTTATTAGCCATTTACTTGTTTTTTTTTCTTAATTCTGGGAATTGCCTTTTCCTGCCTTTTGTTTATCTTTTTCATGCTAATTTTTAAGAGCCCATTAGACCCCAAGGCCATTTCCGAAGTCACTCTGGGCTTGAGGACCCAACCTCACTTACAAAAGTACACTAGGGCAGAGGGCAGGCTGCGCCCCCATGCCTGGGCTCTCCAGCCTCGGGGCACGGGGACATTGTGGGGTGAAGCTGAGAACCGAGCTGAGAAGACCGGCCAGTCGGGGCAGGCGCTCTCCGGCGGAGGAGAGGGGGTTGGGCGGCCGGACGCACTGGGGCTTCGGCGTGGCGGACGCTGCACGTGGACGCAAGTGGGCGCGCGGCCGAGAGCAGCGACGGAGCCCCCAGGAGTGACCGAGTCGGCGCGCGGCAGCTCCGACCCGAAGGGCCGCGTTTGGGCTCCCGCCTCGGCGCCGCCGGAAAGGGCTGGGGCCAGTCAGCCGGGAGGGCCGCGGGCAGCGCTGCGCACAGTCCAGTGCTCACAGGTTGGCAGACGGCCGCTGCTTGGGTTGGAAAGGAGCGCGCTGTCCAGAGCGCACGCACTCTCCGTGAGCGCGCCTGGCCGGCGGGGCGTCCACCTAGCGCCCAGAACGCACAGAAAGCCGGGGCCAGGCTGGGGGCGGGGGGAGGGGCGCCCACCCCGCCCCCGACTCCCTGGGTGCCTTGACACACGCACCCCGCTGCCACACGCCGTCCACATTCCTCGGTCCACTGCCCACCCAGCGTCCCCGAAGGCCGGGCCGCGCCAGCCTGGGGCGACACCTGGACGCCTGGTGGGCGGCTGTGGGGGCCCTCCAGGCCCCCGGAGACCGCGTGGGGCTGCGTGGGCAGGGACCCCTGCCCCGAGTCCACTTCATGTCAAGACGCGGTGGGGGTGGGGGGGTGGCCTGTGCTACCTGGCAGCAAGAAGCTCCCGAGCTGCGGCCGCCTCCCAGGCCGGCGGGCGCCGCCCCCTGCCCGCCGCGGCCCGCAGCCCAGTCTGCGCTCTGGGAGGCTGACCCCGTCTCCCACTCGGCCAGGGCCTGGGGGCCTCTTTGGCACGAAAGCGCTACTTCAACAAGGCGCGCCTCTGGCCTTCTGCGCCTGCGCCGCCCCGCCCCGCCCGCACCTACACACAGTGGGCAGGTGCCGACGCCCGTCGGGCCGGGGCCCCCTGCAGCGGGGCCTCGGGACTCCGGGGAAGGAGGCGGCAAGGAGGCGGCGACAGGCCTCCGCGCAAACAGGGCGCGCGGCTCCAGAGCCCCACCGGGGGCAACACCTGTCCTCCGCGGGGAACACGTGGGCGCCCGAGAAGCCCCGCACTTCGCCCACCAGGGCCAGAGGGGCCCGATCGCCCCCCCTGGGGCGGGCTGCGGCTCCCCAAGCCGCGTGGCAATGGCCTCGCCTGCCTGGCCCCGTCACTCCCATCCGGCCCCCAGACCCTGGTGACCTTCGCTGCTGTCGGGACTCTGGTCTAGCTGTGGACAGCCCAACTCACCCCCAGAAGGCCCCCAGCCCCTGAGCAGGGGAGGGGGGCGACAGGGTACAATGGGGTGCCCTCCGGCTATTCTGGGGGCTTTCTCTTTATCTGCTGGGACTGGGCGTGCTGAAGGGCTCTAGAGCAAAGCAGGAGCACCCCGACCGCGGCTCCCCGCCTCTCTTCAATCAAACACAAGCTTCTTGGTCAAGAACTGAGACAGAAATCAGATGAACCACCGAGGCCAACACCCTTGGCGCCCCCAGAGGTCGCGGTGAGATAAGCCCACCTCTCCCAGGGCCCCCCCCCCAGGGCTCCCGACCAGAAGCCCCGCTTCTGACGGCCAGGACAGCTTCCGTGAGGCCCAACGTCCAGCCCAGCCCGACGCAGCCCCCGCCGGCCACGGGCACGGCCTCTGCCCTCCACAGCAGCCACGGGAGGCGGGACCGGCTGGCCAGGGTGGGGCGGTCAGCGTGGGGGGCAGCGGCCACATCGGTGCACTCATGTCAATCTCCCTCCCCCAGGGGCTCCAGGTCTTTGCAGGAGCTGGACCTTGGACCTCTCCCCGACTGGAGGCCCAGGGGAGAGGTGTGCGGAATGACTCAGTCAGAGCAGGACGCAGGCTCGAGGAGTACAGACCCACACGCTGCTCGCGCCCCTCGACGGGAGCCCCAGCAGCCGGGCGGCCCGCAGCAACTCCAGCTGGGTCTGTCCCAGCCCTGGCGGAGACAGACACACGTTTCAGCAAACACTCTCCCCCTAATTCTGAAGCCCCTGTGGATTGCAAGGGAAATTTAATCCATATGTCTCTGATTCATTTATACTTAACTCATCAACATGTTATTTTGTAAGAGACAGTTCGTGTCCAAGTGCCTTTTTTTATAAAGCTCTTAATATCCCGGGGTTTTTTCTTGGAAACAGGAAATCGTACCGTGCCAGGAGAGCAGGAACTTGAACCCTTAGAGGTTCAGCTCGGTTCAGAGCTCGCACTTCCCCAGGACCCCCCTCCCCCCAGTCAGAAGGTGGCCCACGGACCCCTGGCTCCCCCATACCACCCTGGGAGGCAGAGGCCCTGAAAGGAGCCAGGTCAGACCCGGGAGGCCGGGAGCAAGCAGCAGGCTGGGCGCCACAGGCCGAGTGGCTGTGTTCACAGCCAGGCCGGGCACCCGGAATGCTAAGGCTGTGGGGTTGGGGGGGGGGGGCAGCCACAGTCCCGTTCTGCTTCGTTAGAGGCAGTGTCTTTCCACAAACAGGTTCCTCTGGAAATGACAGGGCCCCTGGGCTGAGCTCAGCATGGGCTGCGGCCAGGTCCCTGGATCAGCAGTGAACTTGCAGGGCCGGCGCAGATGGATGGAAGGCGGCCAGCTGCCCCAGCACTCCCTCCCTGTTGCTCCCTCACCTGGCTGGGCCACTCTGCCGTGGCACCTACTCAAAGACCCTCTGCCCTCTGGCCCCGAGCTGGCAGCCCTGGCAGCCCAAGACCACAGGAACCAGCCGGCGTCCTGCAAGCTCAGCAGAGGCGGCGAAGCCGGCGAGCTCGGCGACCGCCTTGGGAGCCGCTGTGAGCTCTGTCCAGGCTGTGGACACAGAGCCCCCGCATGCTCGCGGACTGCCCCCCGCCCCGAGCAGGGCTCAGATAACCTCCACGCCGGGGCCAGCAATCCCCGATGCTTCCCTGGAGAGCCAGAGGCCAATTTAGCATGGATTCTTATGTTCAGGAGCAAGAGAACGTCTCGGTCAAGAGAGCCAAGGTCAAACGGAGCAGAGCGACTCAGCACGGCCCGGGAGCTACAGGTCGGAAGGCCCAGCCCTCTCCTCTTCCCCCACTGAGAACAGGCTCCCGGTCCTCGCCACCCAGATGAGGGGAGGCAGCCAGCCGGGAAGGCGCACTGCAGTGAGGGGCGGGGAGAGTTAACGTGCTCGCCCCACCCCCTGGCAGCCCGGCGGGCGACCGGCCAGGGCAGTGGCATGCGCCGCCCCGTCGAGGCGTTAGGAGACACACAGGGTGCGCTGCTCGGCCTGCACGCCCTGCACTCTGTCCCTTCAGTCAGGTCCCACAGGAGCGACACGAGCAGACCCGACCCTGACCCCCCGCCTGGAGCAAAACTCGGCTGACCACAGCTGCGGTCAGCCAACCCCCAGGCCCGGGAACAGGCAGTAAGCGCCGCTCGGCGGCAGCTGAGGTTGGGGTGTTCGCCACCCAGCGACAGTCTCCAAGGGCCGACTCAGACGCCCGGCGACAGTCTCCAAGGGCCGACTCAGACGCCCGGCGACAGTCTCCAAGGGCCAGGCTCGGGAAACGGCTGGCGACCAGAAGTGTCTGCCCCGGCCGGGCTGGTCCATAAAGCCGCCTCCAAACCTGCCAAACCTTGCATGTTGTCGTGAGCCTGTCGCCGCCTTCCCCAAGCATCTCCTGAGCAAACGCTGCTCCCTGACAGGGCCACTCAGCAGGGCAGCCGGGCGCGGCCCCGTCCAGAATCTGCTGCGCTCTTCCTCTCTGCGATGACCTTCTGCGGGACGGTGCCCGCGGGCAACGCGGCAGAGCGCGCCAGCTCTCGAGGCTGCCGGCCTGTGCAGCTGGGTGACCCAGCGGCTCCACGTCGCTCCAGCAGAAACGAGGGTCATCGTTGTCGCTTTATGTCACTACTGTATTTTGTGCCATTTGGTGACAGACATGCCGGTATTGGGGGAAGGGTCCCCATCAAAACTTTATAGATGTGCTACTCCCTTACAAAACTGCAGCCTTACCCCCGGCCCCCACTGGGCTCCTGCTCACTGCGCTCTCACAGCTCCCTGCCAGGCCCCCCAAGCCCCGTCGGTCTTCAGAGTCTAGGATGGTTGTTTCTGTGAGTGTTTTGTCGGTTTGTTTTGTTTGATTGTTCACATTCCGCAGGGAGAAACCACTCAGCAAAGTCTCCGCTCGGTGCTATCGCCTGGTGGTTCCCTCACTGCTACGAGGGCACCGGTTTGCCTTTTTCAGAGCTGCGTGGTATTCCACTGCGTGTCTGTTCAGGGCCTCCCTTCCAGGGCTCTGTCAGCGGGCGTGGCTGTGACCGGCTCGACTGACGTTTGCAGAGTGTGAGGTGCGTGCACCTTTCAGAGGTCACGCTACTCTGACACCTGCCCTTACCCCATTGCTCTGATACTGCCTCATTCCTTTCGCCATGCTCCGGTGTCTCACTGGGGCCCAGAAGGACAGGGGCGGGGCAGGCGGGAGGCACAGAGACCGGCAGCCCCGACGTGGCACCTGCGTGCGCGTTGCTCCGACTGGACGTGGGAGCCGTGTTCTGCCTCGGAGCTGAGCGCTGCGCTGGCTTCCTCGTGGCCGCACGACAACACCCGGGCTCTCTTCTCCTGGTGGTGGTTGGGGAAAACGAGCCTGCCGGCCACCCCCGAGGGCCTGCATCTTGGCCCCGGCACGCAGAACCCAGGCACGGGAGTGGGCACGAGTGGACGGAGGCAGGGTCAGCCCGGCTGCCCCTCAGCTCCCACGGCAGCCACACTGAGGCATGCGCCCAGTTTCCCGGCTGGTGCCAGCGAAGCTATGGCACCCACAGAGGTCTCTGCTCACTGTCACCCCACTCTCGCTGTCCCTCTTCCCCGGGGCTCCCCTGCCCCAAGTGCTCCCTGGAATCGCCGCCTCACACGCGCCCTGCCCGACCCTGCACTTGGCACTGGAAACGGACAGACGCGGTGGGAGCGCCCTCCGGCCCTGCTGGCCCGCAGGCTCACGGCCACAGAGCCCGAAGAGCGGCTCAGTCAGGCTGCCAGGAGCCGTGGCTACGCCAGGATGACCAGGTCACCAGAAGTGGCCTCGCCTGCCTCGGTTCCCCACGCTCAAGACGGCGGCCAGAACAGCGCACACCCCCTAGGCGGGGTCATGGTGCGCCTAGCTACTCGCGCCACGCTGCCGGCCACGGTCGTGTTAGGGCTCCGGCCGGCCACGGTCGTGTTAGGGCTCCGGCCGGCCACGGTCGTGTTAGGGCTCCGCCCTCGATGCTGTTCGTGTGGTCAACCAGAGGACCGGCCTGCTGCGGGGTGCGCGGGGAGTCCCGCGCCTCTCGGGGAGACTCGGGGAGATGGTGCGCGCCAGAGCCGAGGTTGAGCCGCCCGGTGAAGCCTTTGTCCCTCCCCCTCTTGACACAGGGCTCCATCGTTGGGGAGCTAAGCCAGGGGACCAACCTTAGCTAAGGAAACAATGTGCCCCAAGATGTCCCCTCCCTGTTCCATGTAAGCAAAAGTGTCCGTCACCTAAGGGACCCCTCAAGCAGAATGGCAAAGTCAAAAAGCCAGCCGGGCTTGACGGGGAAGCGGCAGGCCTTAGGAACACGGTGGGGGCCTCCCTGGTGGCCGAGGGGTTAGGTCTCAGCACTGTCCCGGCTACAGCCTGAGCGTGACCCCGCCAGGGAGGGGCCCCAGGGCGCAGCAGGCCCGCCTGTCCCCCGCCGCCCCTCAGCAGAGGGTCTCAGTGGAGCCTGCCCAGCTCCCGCTCTGTCTCCGGTGGTCCTCTCACCCCGCACCTCTGGCCTGCACCCCAGCTCTTCTACGCCAAAGACAAAATTAAAAAAAAAATTGGCGATGACGACTGGATCACGTCCCGGGGACTCCCCACGACCCCACGCTGGGAGAGGGCACCTGGGTGGGATAAATCGGCGGGGGCCGAGGAGGAAAGGTGCCGGGGACTCGGGGTGTTTGGCCAAGGTGGCCGCACGTGTCTGTCTCCCAAGTGAGCGGTAGCGGCAGCTGCCACGCCGAGTGCGGCGAGAGAGAGTGACCGGTCCCTCTAGCCGGACGCTGTCGAAAGCCCGGCGGGGCCGCTGGCCCTGCGTCACCTTCCCGCCTGCCCATCTGCGTCACGGAATCACCTTCCCTCCAGCCCCGAGAATCAAGGGCCACGTGCAAGCTGCCCCTGCAGCGAGGGCGCCCAGGCCAGACCCACGCTTGTCTGCGGCCCACGGGCTGGACACACGTGAGCGCGGAGGCCCCGGCTGTGGTCGAGGAGGGGGGAGGCGGGATGGGGCTGAGACCCTCCGCCAGGACAGCTCACGCTCAGGCTCACGGCTCTCTGCGCACAGGCTTCCCGCCAGCCTCCGGGGGAGCGGCCCCCGGCCCCGCACCCCAGCCGTCAAGCCGCTTGGAGCCAGGAGAAACAGCCCCCCGAGAACAGAGCAGAGCACTCAGGATAAACGCTGGGCTCTCCGCAGGGGCAAGGGCCAGTGCGTGGCCATCTAGACGGCCTGCGGGAGGCCTCGCGGATGCCGCAAGGTCTTCAGTGACAACTGGGGGCGGACGTGACCTCCGAGGGGCTGAGAAGGCGGCCTGTGTCCCTCAGACGCACCTCCCCACCTTGCCAACGCCGCCGCCTGGCGCCTCAGGGCAAACAGACTGGCATCTGATTGGCCCATGAAGTGCCATCACTGGCGAGCGACACGGAAAGACGGAGGGGGCAAAGGAGGAAACACACCCTGCGGAGCGGTGCGGAGGGCCTCGCGGGGCTCCGGGAGCTGCCTCAGAAACGCGGCGCTGCAGCGCGGGCAAGCGGCGGAGGGGACTCAGCGCTCGGCGAGCTACAGACCCGGGCCGGGAGGCGGCGGGCACAGGGGCTGTGGTGGCGGAGGCGTCCGGGGTCTGCACCGCGGGAGACGTCGCTGCTGTCCAAACACGAGCGCCGACGTAAGAGAAAGTTCAAAAATGCACAGGACAAGTGGCCCCGCCTGCCCAAGGCCACGCTCACGGGAACACGTGTCCCGGGGCCTCACGTGGCCACAGTGGCCACCAACGTCTCGTCGGTGTTTTCTGGGTTTGCTACAGCGGGGTCGTGCTCCCTCGACAGAATGCAGGACGTGTGAGAATGCATAAATGTCTGCAATGCATTATAAAAATCAAGGCACGAGCCTGCCCACGCGCCCCGTGCCTGGGGTCCGGAGCCCACGGCCGCGGCCGGGAAGAAGCCGCCACGCCGCGGCTGCCCACCCAGGGCCGTGTCCTCGAGTTTCCCGGCACAAAAGTCCATCGGCCATGTCCCTGGGCCTATGCTAGA